CCAAAGGTGGTTTCTGGGCTCTGATTGGTTGTTTTCGTTCAGGTCCGTTACCATTAAGAGCACTAGGAGGAGCCAGAGGAACCAGATTTTTCCCACAGATTATCAGTTTCATGTACTACTGTCAGGATATAGTGAAAGTTTCAGCAAATATGATGAAAGCTTTTTTATAAAAATTATCTACTGCAGCTTTAAAAACTTTAATTTAAAAAAATGCTGAACCGAATCCCTTTTCTTCTTTCATTTTACTACCTACAAACAGCAACAACAACATCTTCAGTGTCTGTTAATGAAGACCAGGAAGCCAGCACAAGCCTGTGGTCTTGGTCCAGTTGTAGAGCTTTAATGAACAGACAGTTACGCCAGTGTTACAGTTGACACACCAAGAGGCTGAGGGGAGTAAATGCCAATACAAATTTCTTACTAGTCTAATACGTCCTACAGGTAGAATAAATTATACCATGGCAACATACACACATGCCAAACAGAAAGCAGAATAAAACAAGCAGAGAAAGGACCAAGAATTAAACAGGAGGGGTGGGGGTGAATGAGCATATCTGTACATTTGATCCTTAATGTTCTCCTTGGTTTGCTATCATTGAAAAAATATATATACACAAGAGGTTAACACAGCCAGTGTCCAACGAGTTTTCATGGCTCTTGTGGAGGTGCAGAGATATTGTAAAAGCCTCTGTATTAGACCACCACAGGTCTACATGGACACCGGCATTCAGTTGGAATGGAAATGAACTCTCTAAATTCCTGATGGTCTTGTGAGCTGAGGATAAAACACTGAGCGTCTCTCTGGAATGGCATTAAATACAGAACAAAAAGTGAAAGAAAGAGAACGTTAATAATGCAGAAGCATATTTGGATGGTTCAAGTATGGTTTATGTGTGGAAGAATGCCATTGTGTTTTGTCTCCGTTTATTCTCTTGAGGTGCTTTCCACCGGAGACCAGAACACGACTCACAGCATTGTTGTTGGTCTCCTGAGCAGTGGGGAAGTTCCTGTGGAGTTCATGGATGGGTGCAAAAGCCAGGAGGTTTCACTTTGGTTGGTACGGGTGACCAGACTGAGGAAGATCAAACCTCTCTGATTGTGCTACACATCCTCAATGGACTCCTTCATGAAACTGGTGCAGTTTGTGCTAGAATGGCTAACCATTTTTGAGGTTGACATTACAGAAATCTTTAAAGGAACATCCACACCAAGAGTAATAACAATAACAATAAATGTATCTCTTTAAAATGGATGGTGGAGTCCACCACAACTATAACAACGGTGGCAGATGATATCGTTGGGTTCGCTTTCAGAGTCATTTGATGAATGACACTGTGGTATGCAACTTATTATTGTATCATAAAAAATAGGCTACACATTTTTTTTTATACCTGAGACTCAATGCCAAACTGTCTGCAGCAATGATAGGAATAACAGGGTTCCCACCTCTTTTTAGGGAATCATTTTCCAGGAATTATTTTCTTGACAATACAGGAGCACACAGGTTATGAGTTTAAAACAGCTCCCAAAGGAACTACCGGTAGGCCTAGCAGGATTGAGTCCCTTTTTAATTATGCAGGGATCACGATGAATATCGTACTTTGTTAACCTGCTTATGCTTGGCTGTTCACACCCCAGCCAAAGTGTTTATTACAATTAACATCACTGTGCATGTAATAATGCATATAACAACTACAACAACAAATCTGATCATTAATAGGCTGTGTGTATGTAGATATGCTGACAGCTTTTCCAACGGCATTCAGCTTATGGCTCTGGACAAGATAGACTAGGCGCTGAAAAGAGCTCAGCGAGTCCGTTTCACTTTGCATGTGGTGTGAACAGCAAGACTGACTGACATGGGACCCGAAATGAAATGTTTCCTTTCCATGTAACCACACAGGTTATGAGTTTAAAACTAAATATGCAGCCAGGTTTGCTTAGGCGAGCTATAATGCTATTACATTTTTTCCAGGACAACATAAATTATTTCCAATATTTTTGGTAATTTTAATCAAATTCCAGGTGTTTCCATGATTGAAAAGCTTAAATTCAAGGTATTCCATGTTTTCCAGGATACGTGGGAACCCTGAAGTTTGTTTGTTCCTCACTGATGTCCTCAAAATATGAACAAAATTTGTTTTCATAGGATGACGACAACTCTTCTCTTTGAAGAACTTTGTGAACCCAGATCCTTCTGGTTTTCATTTTGTTTCTCTGCCCAACATAAAGAAATAACAACGCATACAACGCGTTGGGACCACTGTTTATACAACCTTATTGTTCATCATTGTAGATACTCACATCATTATAGTTACTGTTCTTGGTGTGGACAGCCCTGAATTCCTTTATGACATGTCAAAATGCTAATTTATCTCTACATTCTGAGAGGTAAATTATTTGGATCCATATTACAAATCAGTTTTGACTATGTTGAATTTTAACTAACTTGATAAATTCTCAAGTATTCAAATAATGGCCAGGTAAAATCACTGAGCCTTTTATTACAGTAGGACGTGCACAAGGCTGTACAATTGCCCTCTTTATTTATTTTTTGCTGTTGTTGTTGCAAAAATATGCCTAGCCTATAATTGTTGGACCAATCACAATATCATCCAAAATGTTGTTTGTTGACACTTTTGCATATCGTTGTGCAATATATTTTATATAATGCTATCACATGAACCAATTTTAGCTAGCTAGCTAGCTAGCTAGCTGGCTAATACATGGGCAGCAGGCTACATGCAAAATTCTGTAGCCTGTAGCATGATATAAGGCAATACTGCACAAAATGCATTGTTCTGAAGCATATGTGGAGATTTGTATTTACTGGGCAACATATTGGTTATACCATTCAGGTTAGAGCAACAGCAACAGCCCCTTAACATTTCTGTGCATGTCCATGGTCTCTAATATAGGCCTGGTTCTCTCTGCAGTTGAGGTAAGGAAACTCCATTATTTGATAATTTACACTTTCTTTGTTCACTGATAAACTACTCATCAACAGCGAGCTGAGAGGAAACTAGGATTTCAGACATAGGCACTATAGCAAAATGTTGAACCATCCTCAACCATACTGTAGTTGTCATGGGCGGATTATGACATGAAAGCATTGACAGTAAACATTTTGCTCAATATGAACATTCTGTTTGATATGTTGAAGAGAAACATAATCCACACAGCAAGTAAACCATTTAGCAAGCATGAAAGTAACTGTGGGAGATACACTTCCAAACGGAACACTGTTAACAACTCCAATTGTAATTGCAGATATGGCTGAATGACTATGATAACTATGAATAGCTGATGTTGGATTGTCATAGTACTAACAAGCGCTTGTTTTTTATAGATAAATGCAAGGAGTAGACAATAAATTAACTCAAATCCAAAGAAATGAAAGTGAGTGTGTAATGATTGGTACTAAGCTGCCTGGAGAAACATCCGGCTCCAGCTGATGGGAAGAGATGGTCACACTGAGTACGAGCTGCTCAGTCAGGAACTTGTTTGACCTCCAACTATTTCCAAAGCTCCTCAGGAGGTCTTGTTGTTGATAAGAGGGACTGCAGTGTCAGAACAGAGACATTTCTTCAGGATTGGCTCAATTAGTCCATATCAGTCTGCTACAGAGGTGTTTCTCTCCCTCACATACTTAGACACACATGCACACATGGGTTCCTGAAGGGTTTTTTTCTTTTTAAGCTGCCAATAATTTGTGCTGATATTCAGTATCTACTAAGTTGACCGTTAAGTATTTAGGGTTGCCCCGGCATTTTGTTCTTTTCGAGGTAAAAACAAAACAACAGCTTAAAATCTTGTTTTAGCTTAGTTTAAATTCTCAACGCCCACCTCAGGGTGGGTCAGAAGTACAACCCACTTGAATTTGAGGTAAGGGACAACAGGGTTGGTTGTCACGTTCATCAGTCCCTAGAAGGCTGGGGGTCACCTACAGGGTCATATATATGTGTATATGTATATATATGTATGTAAAAGTCCAGCTCTTCTGTGTGTGTCCTCTCGGCATTTACACAATGGGTTTGTAATAAAATGATGAACATTAAAAATTATGAAGGGAGAGCTCTAGTTTTGTGTTTTTACTTAGCATGGTTAAGTGGTTGTTAGCTTGGTCAATAGCAAAAATTCCCAGTTGGGAATCTTAGTTTCAGGGTTGGTTGTCTCATGTGAGTGACGGTGAGTGACTAACACAAGGATGAGTTGAGTATTATTGTTCTTTATATTGTTACATAAGGATAAACATAAACATGTTACAAAAGGATTTTCCATGTTCATGTTCATGTTTCAATGAAATCAAACTTTTAAATTGTTTTTTTCGACTGATCTTAAGATTGCCTCCATTTTTTCCCCCATTGAAATCGAACAGGGACAACCTATCGTGTGGCACCACCAACCCCAGAATGGGGACGGTTGTCACAAGTGCATAAGACGTATTTGACAGTCTGTATCTTTTGAACAGAATAATAATAAAGCTGCAGTAGGTAACATGTATAAAAATAACTTTTTGACATATTTGCCTAAACTTGATCCTGACAGTAGAACATGAGACTGATAATCTGTAAAAAAAAATGTATTCCTCTGGATCCTCCTAGTACTCCTAATGGTATTTGCAAGAATCCACCAGACCTGAACAAAAAAAAACAATCGGATACAGGAAAGATAGTTGATTGGTGAGTTTCAGTCCCAGGTTGTCAAATACCGGCGCTTTGGGCCCTGAAAAAAAATAAAAAATAAAATAAAATAAAATAAAATTTATTTGTATAGCGCCAATTCATAACAAAGTTATTCAGGACACTTTTCAAATAGGGCAGGTCTAGACCGAACTCTTTAACATTAATTACAGAGACCCAACAAAACCCCCAAAAAAAAAACAATTGGGGAAAAGGGAAAAAAAAAAACCTGTTAAAAGGCAGAAACCTGGGACAGATCCTGTCAGGGGGGGCCGTGGGGGGAGTCAGGTTCACAGCAAACAGACAGTCCACATCCACTATCTTCAAGCCTCCAAACCAAGCATCTTTCTATCTTCCTCGGCTCTGATATATATATATATATATACACACATAGTGAAGGTTTCAGCAAATATGGCGGAAAAGGTATTTTTCTAAAAAGTAACCTACTGCAGCTTTAAAGAGAATAAGGTTACTCCATGCCTACCTGACACTTTAGGCTTCCATTACACATTGAAAGGGAATCCATTATCAATGCAATTTTTGAGGGATTCAAATGAAGGCAAAAAGTGTGACAACTGACCCCACTCTCCCCTACTGGAGCATCCATGAGCCATAATCCACTCACACGTGCAGTTGTGTGACGACACAAGCAGAAAAATATGTCAGTGAATGAAACTCAGTACAAGTGATGAAGACTAGGAGGTGACTTAGCAGAGTAACCCGGGTGGTGTTTCCCAAAGGTGTGTTCAGACTGAACACAAAGGCAGTTTTTTTATGTGGATTTTGATGTTTCAAAGGTCAGTCTGAATGGATTGGCTCAGGATTCACATAGTAATTATTTATACCACTAGATTATAATTATCCAGTACAAATTGTGGTGCAGTATTATATAAGAACAAATAAAAGAACCCTTAACATTCCTATCAGTGGAAATCCTTGTTGTGGATTTGCTTGGTCCCATGGGGAATGTTTAAAGCTCGGACAGCTGCATCATTCTTAAACCCTGGAGAAACAGTTACATAAAATAAGTATGAAAAAGCTAAATATCAGCATATACTCAGTCTATGATACGCGCACACACACACACACACACACACATTCTCTGGGAGATTTGTATGGATGGTAGCAGGAGATGGGGGTTGTGCTGGTGACCAGGTGTCATGTTGTTTAAATATGTTAGGTGAGTCCTAGTAGGCCTGGCCAGTCTCGACCTGCAGCAGTCCCAGTACAGCTGAGTGGTCAGCCAGCTTCATCCTGCGCTGACTGGACAGGCCAACGTTCTTGGCCAGGTAATCCACAGCAGCTGGAGAGGAGACAGGACCCAGAGTTAGTGATCTGACAGAGTCCTCTTTACTGCTACTGAGACACTCTGACACTGTGACAGCTTAAACTCATTCAAAATATTTAGAGTACCATTTTGTTGAGTGTTTTTACTTCAAAAAGTGGTTTAATATTTTGAAATCATATATAAGAAACACATCACAAACAATAATTTAATTTGCTCTGTTTCCCCATGTCCCCCACAAAGGACATATTTTGAAAGGCTTAAAATTAATACATTTCTAAAATTAATATAATATAGTTAAGACTCTCATATTATTCTTTAACATCAGCTTATATAAACTACAGCATGATTATTTTTTAAGGTTCTGTTTAGGCAACTTAAACAGTGACTTGGAGGCACAAGCCAGGATGCGTTCACTTAACCAAATCCACCTTTCCTTCCCTTATCCATCCTGAAGCAGACTACACACAGGACTCAGGATATCAACCCCAGGCTACGGGGTACAAAGTCATGAACTTCGAATGCCAACCATCCATCCACCCTAGCAACCTCCCTATGAATTCTGCGTGGTCCATAAACGGACAGCAGGACCAACCCCATCTGACTCCCAAGTCTTCAAATACTGCAGTTCAAAGAGCAGGAAAGTCCACCTATGGAGGTGGTGAGTGGATGGATGGCTCAAACAAACACAGAACTTGGTCCCCTGAAAAACCAAAACTAAACAATTTATTTTAAATAACATTAAGTTAAATGTCCAGTGTGTAGGATGTATTGGCATCTAGCAGTGTAGCTGTATATTGCAACTCCCTTGCTTCACCCTCGTCTTCTAAGCAAAAAGGAGAAACTACAATGGCCACAAAACGTACAGAAAATGTGAACGCTGCTATCTAGAGCCAGTGTTTGGTTTGTCCGTTCTGGGCTGCTGTAGAAACATGGTGGTTCAACATGGCGGACTCTGCCAGAAGAGGACCCACTCCCTCTGTAGATAAACACAGCTCATTCTAAGGTGACAAAAATACAATGATTCTTTTATTCCATTTTTGCCAATAGATACTCATAAATGTTACACACTGGACTTTTAACTTAAATGATGTTTTATTCATGTACTTAAGTTGTGTCAGGTCAATACATAAGTGATGTTTCCTATTCCTTAACTAGTAGTTCTTGCAATAAACATAACAAAACTGCAGCCGCTAACCATGCAAGCTTTTTTCTGAAAGTCTAACTGGGAATTACATATTCTTGCTAATTTAACTGCAGTGGAGGGGTCTGCAGGATACCTACATTGTCATATTTTGAAGCGGAGGGCCACTGACCAAGCTGCAGTTTTTGATGAGCTGGGAGAGAGAATGTGTTTGCAAGACAGTGCATGTGAGATTGAGAATGTGTGTTCATGGTAATGAAGGAACACTTGTTACATTCAGTGTTGGTTTGACTCTGCATGTGAGATGTGATGACAAGAAGAGAAATATAGAATCTTACCAGACTAATCCTTTAATGTGTATTATAATGTTGCAGGATTGTTTGTTGGATGTCTAGTCACACTGACTGACAAGAGAACACGATGTTTGACAGACAAACAAAAGGAGGCAACAGTTTGGCTTTCCAGACAGACAGACAGACAGACAGACAGACAGACAGACGGAGAGGCAGGTAGAATAACCGTGCCTCTTGGAAAGCTGGCATTAACGCTCAGCATATTTTTGTCTCTGAGTGCTGGATGTTGCCCCTCCCTGGTTGAGCTTGTGATAACTTCTCTTTTATAGGGCAGGAGAGAGGAGGGCTGACAGCAGATGTGATGTGCCATGGTGTGTTTGGGTGTGCATGAGTGTGTGTTGTAGCTATCGTGGGGGGCGGGGGGTGTAAGTAAGGCATGTCAGTTAGGATGTGCACAGAAAGGAAGCTGTCACTCTGTGCTGAGGAATAAGAGAAAGAAGAGCACCTATGGGTGGGCAGGTCTGTCTGCCAAGATGCCAGTCACCCAGACAGGTAGTGGGGGAGCAGTGTGTGTTTGTGTGTGTGTGTGTGTGTGTGTGTTTGTGTGTGTTTGTGTTTCACAAGGGTTTAGTGAGGCCCTCTAAAGGAAGCTGTTTTTCCTGTCAACCAGGTTTATACCTTAAATCCCTGTTGAGCAGTCACACTGAGAGTCCTCTGCCTCAAAGATAGAGCCTATCTGATAACACACAGACAAAAACACAGGCGCACACACACACACACACACACACACACACACACACACACACACACACACACACACGAAATACAGCTATTTTGACAGTATGTACTTTAATCTGTCAGGAGCTTCCTGCAATAGAACAAGAGAAGAGTTAAATGTCTGAAGTAAACTGTCTAATCTGTCTGCAGGAGAGAGAGGTGGGGGTGAAGGGCCACAGCCACAAACATCACTTCACACAGGATCACACAGATTTTCTTAAAGAAACACCTTTTGAACATATAACCTAAATCTTATTGGTTATCAGACTGATGAAGTTCAAAGGACAATCTAGTAGTACAATGCGATAGGGCTGGGTATCAGTACTCGATACCTTTCAGGTATCAACTGAAACAACCCGGTACCAAGTAGTATCGAAACTGCGCCTGTCAAACGATACCTGCAATCGGTACTTTTTGTACCCACTACCCAGATCAAGAAAAAAAATGACTGACTGTTTCTATGGTTTTGCTTTGTATGGCGGTAAAGCGTGCGTGCTTAGTCTGTGGCGGAGTTGGCTGGTCAGCATTCCGAGATGCCGGCAGCAAAACATTCAAAAGTATGGTTGTACTACACGCCTGTGGCGCTGGGTACAAATAGATACATCAAATGCGGCAAGATTATTTCGGGGAAATTGGGGAATACTAACAATGATGAAGCACCTCATCACGCACGGAACAAACTTCAGTGTGGACAACTGCACTGTTTTTAAGAAGCCAGCGTCTACAACACCAGCGTCGTCGTCGTCATCTCAACAGGACACGGAGTAGGGTGGCCATTTGTCTGGCTTTTAAATGACACTTCTAGCTGCAGGTGCAGCCTTAAGCCGGACACTAATTTGTCCTCCTTTTGAGAAAATAACAAAAAAGGTCCGCCTTTTGACACATTACCTCGTTAGTTTAATATTTATTGGCTATAAAGCTGTGTCAAAATAAGTAATTTCATTGGTTACATTTTTGTGTTGTGACCTATCAACACATGGCTCATTTTAATAGTCAAATGAGCCATGTGTTGATTCGCCAAGCAATCACCACAGTTGCTACCACCAGGCTGTCAATCAGGCCCTCATCACAGAGATCATAAGGTGAGCTAACGTCGGTTGTTGGACTGAAATTCTGAAAATGCTCATACTCATATGTATAGGCAAAGTCTAGGCAAAGCCTATACATCTGAAACAGAAGGTGCTGTATTTTTTTTTACCCTTTATCTATCCAGATAAAAACATTAAGAACAGTTTCTGTATGATGTTTATTAGACCTATGTAATCTGAATTGGAAGGCCACGGTGTCATGAGCTGTATCTTGTATATTTATTATTAGCTATGTGGTATGTGTATGCACCTTTATGTAATCTGGTGGAAAAACATTAAAATTTAAAACCGGTTCATACCAAACAAATATCTGCTTGCTGTCCCTGTGTATGCAAAGTGTCCTCTTTGATGTGAAGGAAATGGCCACCCTAACACGGAGCAACCGTCGATAACTTCAGGTATATATATAATTAGAATTCTTCGTTGTACATGTTTGTACAGTTATTAAATAAATATTTGAGCACTTTCAAAATGTATTCGTTTAAAAATCTTTTGAATGGGGAGGAGTGGTCACATTTGCGCAACTGATTGCTTTTTTTTTTTTTAAAGTTGTAAAAAGTATGGAATGAAGTACTCAATTGGTATCGGTATCGTGGTAAGGGTACTGGTATCGAACATTTTTAAACGATACCCAGCCCTACAATGTGATCATAAGTGATAGAAATGGGGGACAAACCCAAGTTGAAAAAAACCTTAATGATCCTTTGAGGTCCAGAAGGATATGTGACCAACACTCAGTGGCAATGCAGGGAGAAGTGTGCTTTTTATGTAATGAAACAGAAAGGACATAGGACTGTGGGGGTCGGGAGGGTAGATGGGCCTATAGCTCATCTGACTTACATGCAGAAGAGTGGAGTTGAAATCCAATCACAGCCTTTTTGGGGGGCTTTTATTGCCTTTATGTGATAGTGACAGCTGAAGATAGACAGGAAAGGGGGGCAAAGAGAGGGGATGACGCGCAGCAAAGGGCCGCAGGTCACTGCAGCAAGGACTCGGTACATGGGACGCCAGCTCTACCAACTGAGCTAACCGGGCGCCCAATCACAGCCTTTTTATCAACTGTTATTATTCATCTTTCCCTAACCATCATCATAAATAGTTGCCATGCTCACATACTGTAGAAAGTGAGAAAATGGTTACTAAAACATGTACCCCTGAGTCACTCACTAGTGACATAATTGTGCCATTAGTAACGCAAACATGGTTTCTATAAAAATGTTGGTTACTCACTCTGGCCGTACTGACTGTACTGGTAGCCGGCGGCAGCCACAGCTGGGTCCATGCTATAGCTCGTGGTGCTGTACGTCGGGGGGCAGTAAGACTGGGATGACGGAAGGCTGTCCACCGTCTTAATGGAGGAATCAGCCGAACGTTGGCTGCAGCTCGCTGAGATGGAGTTGGGTGGAGAGGAGTCCAAGGCGCTGTGGAGTGGTGAGATGGAAAAGTCGTGTTGTGGCTGCGAGGAAACACCACTGGGGTTACTGAGGATGCTCATCACCTGCAGACACAGAGGAGAAGACGCTGTTAGCCTGCTTTTTGTCAGGCAGCAAGATATCTCAACACCCTCCGGTCAGATCATGAAATCTGCTCTGAATATTCATGACAATCATTTTGGATATTTTGGTGACCACCTGAGCTTTACTTTAGTGCCACTAATATGTCAGTGTTGCTAACAAGCAGACTGCCCTTCTGATTGTAATGACACGTTAGGTGAAGCTTTAAGAATAGTTAATTGTCATTATCTCGTTAATACTTTGGGCTGCAGTGATAATATAAATTTCTAAGCTTATTGGGTGGGAGGACGAAACAGGATAGACACATTTCTTTCAAAGAGAAAACCAGCTGAACAGTAAAATTATTACCCTATTATTACTCAGTTGTCCTTATAACTGTTGAAAACATCCATCATGATTCCATGGAATGGCGCCGGCGACAACGGCAGCCTGTCATGGCAGCTCCTTTCATTGTTGTAGTTTTAGTGTGTTTTCAGTGTGTTTCTGCTATTTTGAACTCTTTTCTTACTTTCTCACTCTCTTACTACTTTGTTCATGTCGCCTAAATACTTTTTTGGCGTTTTTGAGCACTTTTTATTTTTTGTTTACGCTGGTCTCCATGGCAACGGGGAGTCGCATTGTTTTCACCACTGCGTCGATCAGATGATCGCCCTGAGGCCCCCTAGCATCCTGACCTGGAGAGAGTACCCTCCATACCGGAGGAGCTGAGCTGAGGAGACGGGCTGGGAGGCTGCAGAGCGGGGTTAAACGGAGGATGAAGAAGAGGAGCTTTAAACTCTACATCCCTGCAATCATCGAGCAGATACCGGACTCCAACGTCACCATTCCCGGCTTCCAGACGGTTCGAGCCGACAGGGACACCACCGCGACCGGCATGAAGAAAGGAGGGGGACTGTCCGTGCTCATAAACAACAGGTGGTGTAACACCGGGCACTCTGTGTGAAAGAGCGTCTGCAGCCCGGACATCGAGCTCATCGCCGTCGGACTTCGTCCATGTTATCTGCCACGGGAACTTTCCAGTGTTATCACCATCACTGTCTATATTCCTCACAGTGGTCTTCATCATCACCATCACTGTTTACATTGATGATGTCCTATTTATTCTCCTGTACAGCACTTTGGTCAACTTTGGTTGTTTTTAAAGTGCTTAACAAATAAAGTTGGATTGGATTGGATTGGATCATAGTTTACAGGCGCACTAACTTTGACCACTCAGTGTATGTTTTTATGGATATCTCTGTGTTCCCAGACCTCCGCGATGACTTTGTTGGGTACGATATAACTATTATAGTGGGAAACTAGATACAATTAAGCCCAAGAATTATCAAACAAATGAGGTAATATCAGTTTACTGGAAGAGTGGAGACTCAACAGCCCACTGCAACCTGCAATTGAGTGACTCGGGTAATTAGCATTACTGCTAATGAGCTGTTCTTCTAGCACGTTTAATGCCCACTGACCACTGCTGGCTGCACTAGCATTTATCAGAATGTTATCTAAATAGACTACACTGGCTGTGGGTTTGATGGGGAAGGTTTTATTTAAGAAATGTCACAACTGACACATTTCAATAGGAACTGATCAGTGAAATGATGTGTATTGTCTTTTTACTATGGTGACATTTAGTTGTAACCTTGCAAGGCAGCTGGACATGCGAGATCACAACTACGGGCGTGGTTTAATGCTAGGTGTGACAATGTGTGTCAGAAGTGACTGCTTGCTCAAAAACAATGGCAGCTGCTAAAGAATTAGCATAGATGCTAGTTATTTCACAACGGGAGAGTATTTCTTCAGTGAAAGAAGAGCAAAGAACGGCACTGAAAGCTTTTCTAGATGGAAAAGATATTTTCACTCTTCTCCCAACTACGTTATATGGTTTGTTGATCTGATTGGTTGAAGTATGATAGACAAATTGATCATCATCACCTGCATCTAACATTTTTCCAGTCAGATAATTATGAACTGAGCTGCTGAATAACTCAGATTATTAAGTAACTTCTATTTAAGGAATCCTTAAATGTGGTTTTCATTAAAACTAGGGTGGGTAATTTTGGAGAAACTAGCAAGCAAAGAGAAAGCTAGATTTTGAACGTATCCAACTGATAAAATCCCATCCCCCCCCAAAGCCAATTCCCCAGCACAAATTATCATGCACAATGAAAAAAAAGCATTTTCCCCTTTACTGTCAAGTTTCACTAGTCGTCCAAGGACAGTTGTGTTATGGGCTTCTTCACTGTTTTCCTTCTTTTACAGAAAAAGAGTGGTACAGAGAGACATAGGTAGGGAAATAGAGCCTCCAGGACCCCAGGAGATGTCTAAGCTAGACTTGGGCAAGGAGGTGTGGGGTTTCCAGCAGCCTGACACTTCTATTCAGGCATGCAGAGCGGCCCATTGTGGTACTTGAAAGTGGAAATCTTCATATTTAGCATAAACTCACTGACTTCCATTAAAGGCGCTTGGGATTACAGGGTGAAATATTTAGACAACCATAATACAAGAAAGCACCAGGGTTCCTGCCACTGGCAGAGAAGTGCTGGAATACTGTGAGCTGAACTGCGTGCCCTGAGAACAGTTTGTTCTTCATACTTAGGCTTGTGCTGATATTAGCTGTAAAACAGCTGGAATTTCATTTATAATTAAAAAAATAAATAAACAAATAAATATGAATATTACTTATACATATAAAAAAATAGGCTATTCAATAACAACATGTCAATAAAAATCATTAATTTGCTCTACACAGGGAAACAGCTGGCCTGGCTATGTCAAAGTTCAAACCTATCAACCCCTCTGAAGCTCAGTGATAGCCCCAGCTGCTAAACACTACAGGATGCTTGTTCAGAATGAAAGGCTGCCATTGCAGCACAACAGAGTGAGACAAAACTGTAGCTTCCATAAAGATGATCTTTTGCCATCTTTTGAAAAAAGAATATAAGACATGCAAGTAGTCTGGTGTACAGGCAGATAGAAAGTGTTAAATATAGTCAATATAATGCTGAGCCCCGGTCCATCCCTCAGTGTGTCCTGGTGCTTTCACACACTTTCCTCCTGTTGTGAAGGTACTGGAGGAGCCCTGAGAGCTGAGGTACCAGCAGACAGGACAGTATGCTACATGGAAATGCTAATAAAGTAATTCATTTTTCAACCTCTAAGCAGCAGCTAGTAGCAGTAAATGAATACAATATGAATCCTTTCAGATAAATATACATTTCAGACAAAGAGTTTGCCTTTTATAGGATTTGAATGTCCTTAGCTGTTCTAATGAAGCCATGTTTTGTTTATGCTCGTGTCAGAGGAAACCCTTCTCTTTGTTGGTTTCTAAGCTCAGTCTGCATCTGCATCTGCAGCCCACTGATAGCAGTACTGCTCACAGATACTGTAGCCAGGAGCTAATGCAGGGCTTCCTAAACATTTCCAGCAAGCATTTCACTGAGACAGAAGTTGTCCAGCATACATTTTCTAAATATGAATGAGCACAGTGTGTCAGGGCATAAATAAGAATAATTTAGATTTTTTACTACCTGAGTAATATGCCTGTGGTTTTGGTCACTATTACTTTGGATATTATACTCACCTACATCATAACTGAAATCTGAGGATGCTGCAACAGGTAAAATAATATATTTAATCTTCCATCAATGAGGATGAAGGTGAAAAGATGATACAACCTATTAAGTCATACCATACGTTGATATTACATATTTGAATTAAGTCGCTGTTTCACTCGCAACGTCACTCACACCTCATCCAGTACTGCTGCTTGGGCAGTTGGCTCTCTGCTTCAAAATACAACACTGTAGGTATCCATCAAGCATCATTTCTGGACAGGCGACTCCATGGTCAAGTTAATAAATATGCAATGTCCGGTTACACACAGTTACACATGTGTAACATTTAGGAGGATCTATTGTCCGAAATGGAATAATATTCATAGGTATGTTTTTATTAGTGTATATTCACCTCAATAATATAGGAATCATTTTGTTTTTGTTACCTTAGAATGAGCCGTTTTTAGTCGCTTTTTATGGAGTCCACCATGTTTCTACAGTAGCCCAGGACAAACCAAACACTGGCTCTAGATATGGCCTTTCGTGTTTTTTGCGAGTTTCGCTTCCACAGTAGTTTCTCCTTTGCGCTTGGTTTTGCTAGATGTCACTAATTCCACACTGGTCCTTTAAACAATAAAGCTTGCATGGTAAAATGGTCGCTGTTTGGTTAGGTTAAGGTACAAAAACAACTTGGTTAGGATTAGGAAAAGTCCTGTGTTTGTTTGAGCCACCCATCCACCCCACCAACTCCATATGCAGACTTTCTCACTGTTGGAATCAATCAATCAATCTTGAAGTCAACTGACTTTGATGGCGAAAACGTCCACAAATTACGCTGGAGGGATACTTACATATTTGGACTTGAACGTGAGACCGGGTTGCTCTTAAACAGGTGTAAGTCATTTCTTATTAATTTTGGTTACACAGTTTATAATTTAAAGGACGATTATAACTAAGAAATAAATGTGTTGGTTTAATAGGGGATTCAGTAATTTGGATAAATGTAACTACTGGTGTGTGTTAATGTATTTCCCAGATCTCAGCAATTAAACTGGTGTTTGAAATACTGCTGGGATGTAACTAACGATTGCCAAAGCTTAGAGAACAGACCCAACTTCATTGATGAGTATATAAAAAGTTTTAAGCTGTTGCAGACAATCCTGTCAGCTATTGTATATCTAAATGTTCCATACCATACATCAGCAGTTAATTGGTGTATGGTAGATGTTTTTGTAGATACAGGATACAATTTTGTAGAGATATTCTTTAATGGAGGAATAAGATGTGCTGTATGTGAGTCAAGGTCATCTTTACTGGAAGGATGAAAGGTAGTGAAATATAACACACACACAAACCCAGAGACTGACGGAGGATAGGGTGATAAGCCTCCATCTCAAACAGTGTGAGGACTCTTGCAGATGAAGAGATGAGTGGAG